TACACTGTTGATATGGTGCTAATTTTGTAGTAACCGGTACTGTTATAGTTGTGCTGGTTGATGCTACTATTGAGTGCTGGTGTTATTGGTTGTCCCTGTATTATTGTGTTCAGATAGTAATTACTAAAGGCTCCCATTCAGATTTCAACCTTTTTAATTTTGTTTTGAATTCAGTTGAATGAAGATCCTTGTCATATAATCTAAGTTTAACTGTAATTCGGGCTAATCTAGAATGAACCTGAGACTTCATTATTTACCAAAGTTAGTGTTGCAAATGCTGGACTGAATTTTAGTTCTGTGACTCAATAGAATATGCTAGATGGAAATACAAAGAATGTTAAAAATAGCATTTGGGTTGCAAGTAGGAAAACCTCATGCGTGCCATTTTGGAAAACATCCTCATTTCATATTCAGTTTTAATGCATTTTATTTTTGGAAGGAACAATATTTCAATTCAGTATATTGTGTATGGTGATGTATTATTATTGGTGATATAATAATATAAAGCGACTTTCAGTGAACAGTGAAAATTGAACCATGTGATAGGTAACCATAGAATCACAGAATCATAGAATCAACAAGTTTGGAAAAGACCTCTGAGATTATCAAGTCCAACCCTTCATCCAACACCCTTGTGGTTACTAGACCATGGCACTAAGTGCCACATCCAGTCTCATCTTAAAAACCTCCAGGGACAGTGAATCCATCACTTCCCTGGGCAGCTCATTCCAATGCCTGATTACTCTCTCTGTAAAAATATTTCTTCCTAATATCCAACCTAAACCCCCCTTGGCACAGCTTAAGACCATGCCCTCTTGTCCTGGGAGAAGAGACTAATGCCCATCTGGCTACAACCTCCTTTCAGGTAGTTGTGGAGAGTGATGAGGTCTCCCCTCATCATGCATAGGATGCATATCCATGGTTACATGTTTCGGGTTACACATGTTCAAAGACAAACATTTGGAAAAAAATGTAGTGCTTTTAAACCTGCATATATTGGAAGACACAGAGACTCCCTCCAGTACAAAAACATAAGGAGGTTTTGTGTACATGCTTTACGGTTCTCCCCACTGTTCTCAGAATTATCATCCACTGTATCTCTGGGAAAAATACATCTCAGATTCATTTAGCACTCCTGTGTGGCTAATGAAACTATGAAATAAAAGATGTCTACTCCTGCTTTGGCCTGCGTGGTTAATATTCTCACATGTAAAGCTGATAATGCACCAACACTTTTGATTGGTCATTTATCTCTTGAAAAATGATGTTTCCAAGTAGCTGAAATGTTGTGGGAATTCAGGTCACATTTCCCAAATAGTCTGAATACAAGCAGATGACCAAACATAGTGAACTATGAAGGCAAGTCAAAGGAATTGCAAAAACATTCTAGGACATATGGAATAAAATTACTAGCCTATTTCCATGGCAAGGTTTGTGATGCTGATGTGGTTTGAGCCCCAAAAGCCAATTTTTCAACCCCTCCCCAAATTCGCCCAAATGTGAGAGAAGTTTCACACAGGTACAAACTCAGCATGGGGAATCATATAAAAATTTATTGCTAACAGAATGAAAACTATGAAGTAATATATATACAACAATCCTAACTAATTTTCCTATGATAAAACAACGTATTTACACAGACCACCCCTCCCTCCCCCATAAAGTCCAGGAGGAAAAGAAGTCCTTTACTTTCAAGGCCACAACTCTAATTCGCAGTAGTTGGAAAATCTTTTCTCTTTCTCTCTTCTTTGGAGTGCAGGGGGGTCTATCCTCACTTCTCTCCCCTCAGCCACGATTACCGAGGGTCTTACCATGGACTTTCGGGGGAACACTTGTCTCACCATGTCTTCGCCATGGGGTACAAGGAGTTAAAGCTTAAAGTCTTTATCCCTTGCTTATTGGAGGTTCCTTCCATGGGAGTTTTGGGGGGTCCCTAAGTCTGAGGCCACCCCTCCTTTCCCAGGTCTCTCTCTCACTGACCTCATAGCTCTAATTCCAACTACGCCAACAATCTTCCAGTTCTGTGTAATATGTCATTTCTGCAGAGGCATATTAAGCTTTTAATTGGCTGAGCACCAAAAATACCACCCCTGGAGCTACCCATCTTCCAGCTCCAGGGGGGGGGGCTTTCAAACCACGACAGATGATGAATCCATAGTAGACATAAGATTCCCAACATTTCTAGTTGATTCAACACCTAAACCTGCCAACACATTTGTGGATCTTTTTTGTAGAGCGTTACTCTAAACCTTTGTGGTGTACCAAAGCCCTACACCCTGAAACAGAGCTTTAGGACAAAATCAATGAGAATCGCTTTCTGTAGAGTTCCATATCTGTTTTCCTTTGAAGATTCTAAGTCTCATCTCTTACTGAATTTCAACAACCCAAGTCACTGCTAGTGATGAAAATTTTTGACTCAATGGACATCTACCTATTGCTTTGAAAAGGTTACTCTACAAAAGCAATTGCTTGTAATAGGTTAGTGTGTGGTACAGATTGCAAAAATGTTGGTAAAATACAATATTTGCATGCAGGTTAAAGCATTGACAGGAAGGCCAACAGAAAATACAAGGCTGAAGTTCGCTGTGCAAGTATAACAGGAGACAAGGATCTTGCAAGCATGACTTAGTGGTCCTGTGAAATGGTTTTGCTTCATGAAATTATGTTTTAGGCAAAGCATGAGAACTGAAATTATAGTAAAAAACCTACAGAAAGATTCTGTAAGATTTCTAAATGTCTTACTATGTAAACATCCATTATATTCAGCAAGTTTATATGACAAAAAGACAGCATAAATAGCTGTGAAGTTTCCATAATCTTTTTATGCATCTTTGTATGAACACTATCATAATTTTAAACTTTTTATATGACTTTCTGTCATGTATTTTTAAATTACTGACACTTATGAAATCAGAGCAGCTCTTGCATCCAATTGCTGGTCTAGATTGAAGCTTGTAGTGTAAGTCATGCAAATAAAATTTTGCATATTGTCTAAAAGTTCATTACTAGTAATCAAAAATCTCAATGTTGTATATTTTCTCAGTCCTTGTGTCAAGAGCAATGGAGAGCAATTCACTCTGAGATTTATAGCCTGTGAAATTAAACATTTTTAAATCATTGTACGTATTTGCTCATATTTTGCAAAAAGAGAATTTAATTTTAGAAAATTACTTTCGTTTTCTATTACATTTCTTGTAATGACCTCTAAAGGCCAGGTATTGATAAACTGTGTTATTGCAATAATTCTTTTTCTTTCTTGGCACGTTTCATATTTTTTCAGAACAATTTGATTTTCTGTGAGAACATGAAATGTGGTATGAATATATTTATTTCCTCTTTAGCATTTCACTCACTAGCTTACGTTTATGATTGTGTTTCTTACAGTATATCAGCAAAAGATGACCTTCAAGTGTGAAGCTTGGTTTCAGAAGACATTTGTAAAATTTTAGGATGTCATAATAGATACATTAAAGTAATAAGAAAATAAACATTTTGCTTATTTTGCATCATTGTTGACCATATTTCCTAGCTTGATCGACTTGCTTCATGGAGATAATATGGACTGTAAACAAATCTTCAGAATGACACAAAATACTGTTAAAACTGGAAATGTATTTGAGAACTGCAGGCTGCTATATAATTATAGGACCTTGATAGTTTGACATGTGTGACCTAAAAAGAGAAGAAAGAGGAAGTGCTTATTCAGACTATTTAAGACTTCCTTTTCTTATGTGCTCTAATTAAAGATTTTAGCAGTTGATGAAAAAAGTAATTTTAAAGGAGCCTTTACCCATTTAAAATTATAAAGGGTGCTAAAATTAAATGAAGGAAAATGAAGGTGTGAAGACTAACAAATATCTTTGAGAAAAGTACACAAACTGGGCAAAAAAGTAGGTAGTAAATAAATTATGTAGATTATACATCTAAATATCTGGATCTATCTCTGTACTTTTTTCATCTAAAAAAGATAATTCTAGTACTTTCAAAATGAAAAATTTCTCTTTATTTTTCCCAAATAGTTTTTTCTCATTGGCCTTGTTTTTTGTTTTGCATTTATGTTGGTAAGAAAATACATATTTTTACATTTTCTGCTGACAAACCAGCAAAAACATTCAGAAAAAATTAAAAACATTCTCCTAACATAGGCTGCCCACTGTTCCTTCATTGGATTAAGCTATGGAAGAATGTGATCCAAACTAAAAGAATCCGAGAAGTAACTTAAAGGAGAAGAAAGACATCTGAATCAGAAGGTGGAAAGGTATTTTTTGCTTTGAGAGACTGATGTGCCTGTGCAACAAGCTATGTAATTTAAAATATAACCAAGTGAAAGATGTATATTTTTGAGATCTTGATTTTAAAAAGTAAATAATCTCATTTTTTGATGCATTGTTCTAAGTCGCTTACATTTACTTTTCAACTCTTGACTTCATCAGGTTTTTAGATTTAGGTGTTTTGTGTGCAGCTATGTAGGTTGGTGAGCTCACTGAGCAAGGCTTTGTTTGGAAGCAGAACACAATGAAAAGGGGCTTGTGAAGATATTAGCTGGAAGATAAGAATCCTCTTTGGGACTTCAGATTATGTGGATGCTTGAGACATCCTTGTTATGGCTTGTTATTGGAAAGGAGAAGAATAGATACTTTCCTTCAGAGCAATCTTTATGAAAAATGTTGAACAAATGCGCTAGCCCACAAGTATCTAGTATGCTCTCAGTGCTAAAAGAATAAGATAATCAATTTTATATTCTAAAAACAATTAAGGCTTGTTATAGGCAAAGATATATGTATTTGATTTCACATTAAAAAAAAGATTTGAGTAGTAAATATGGAGGATACAGAAAAGAGATGCCATCAGGTAAGATTAGGTTCATAGAGATCAGGTTTTTTAATAAATGTAAACACTGTAAGAATATTGTTTGTTTTAAAGATAGGCATGTTACTATGGTAACAACTTCATGATTCAACATTGCAGATGTTCTCTCCCTTGAACAGTCCCCGCAGTGAGTAAGCAGGATGCATGCATTTGCCATCATTTCAAAAACCAGTCTCTGCAAGGCATGAGATTTGCATACTAATCGGTGTTAAGGAATTTCCTGATGATGAGTAGGTAATTTTTAAATAATTATTTTCATTGATGTATTTTTGATTCTGTAATTTGTTAGTTTTGAAGAATTTAAAATACAATACCTTTTTTTTCTGATGAATGTTTATATAATTCCATTAACCTGGACATCTTGCAAGCCATAAATACATGTTGGCTTACTATATTGCTATATGTAGTGCTGTTAAGATTTGTTAAACAATTTGCCAGACTGGGAAAATTTGCTTCAGAAAAAGGGAAAACCCTTTCACACCAGTTCAAATTCCCATATACATTTAAAAGCCTTATCAGTAACTTAACTATAGTGTTTTAATGTTTTTAAAGAAACTGGTAGAAATCTGTCTTTTAAATTTTTTTTTGCCATACTCTTACAATAATGTTCTCTGGATGTGTTACATTTTGATAACCTGACACTAAGATTAATACTTATTTGTAGGAAAGTAATTATTTAATTTAAAACAGTTAATACACTGCACGACATTCTTAGGAAGTTGAATGGGTCCTGTTGTCTTGTGCCAAAGCCTTCTTAATACTGTGGCAGTGTAGCAACTTTGCCTTCAGCTCTGAGCTATATATGATAAGAAAATATTAGAATAATCCAACAGGTAGTCTGGGGTATAAAAATATCCCAGAATATGTGGCAGCAGTTGATAAAATTCTTTTCAGCTTTAAAAGACCAATCATCTTTGAGAGGAGGAGGCTCACAACTGGTTGTGTTTCCCTGAGGAGATAGGGTATGAAAAAGCATGTAACAATAGTTATTATCTAAAGATTCTATACTGAATCATGGAAATATCATTATTATCATGACAAGTAAAGATGTCATGATGTAAGCCAACACTGGACTGTGGTAACCTTTGAGAAATAACCATCCATTTCCTCCAAAAGCAACTGAGAAGCATATCAGACTTGCAATTTTTGATTGCACTGAAGAGTATCAAATTTGTTTCAAAATACTGTACCCCAACTTCAGTCCACAAAATGTGCCTTCAATAATTTGTTCTGTGTGACCTGAGGCCAAGACTGCCTACTTTAGATTAGCTATTAACAGCTTCAGACATCATATCAGACGCTGATATATTATCTGTTTAATAACCTGAACTGATGAAAGTGAGTGCTACTATGATGAAATGAATCCAGAAGACCGAAGAAATAACAACTCAAAAAGTTTGTTCTTTCTCGTGGCATCTTTATATATACAGCGTAGAAATTATGTATGTAGGGAATCTGGCAGTCAATTCAACATAGTTAGCACCACACATACACAGCAGAAAAAGACAGCATTTGCTGAAATATTTTGATGAAGCATGTGTTTGTGTAATTTTGTTTATTTTTTTTCCTTTATCAGTAGTGTTTTGTGTTTTGCATGTTATCAGTTTCCATGCCTTAACAGCTTTTCTATCATACGAATGATAGCTGTGAAGGGTGTATCACGAAATAAACTGCTGTTTTCTTTTTGTTCATTTGCATAATTTACAATATGTGGCTATCGGGAACAGAAAATGGTTGTATTAGTGAGAATATTTCCATAATTTTGGTGAGGATTACCTGTGACTCTTAGCCTGACACAAGAAGATAAAGTTAATTGCATAATTCAGAACTTTTGATGTAAAGATTATTTGCTAAAATACAACCATGCTGGAAAAAATTCCTGTCCAAGGTTGAATAAACTAAGTGTGATTTTTCTCTCAAGGGATTGCCTAAACAAAGATATGACCTCAATAAATACTAATTTTTATACTAAAATAGGAGAAAAGACTGAGAAAAATATTCATATTTGTTTGGTATAATATCAAGGCACTTCTGTGTTTCAATATGTTTCTTTTAGTGGCTTTATGAGGCAAACAGGCCCTATTGTGTAAAATTAATATATACTCTATTCAGAAGACTTTCCTTCTTTTCACTAGTGGCAGCCACAATAAATTACAGCGCCTTCTGTCTATTTTTACTAACATTGCTAAATCAGCTTATCTCCTGGATAATGAAAATATAAGTTTAAAATACAGAAAGTATTTCTCCTGATTCCTAATATAACACAGGAGTATTAAGCCAGTACGTTAAGCCAATATGAATTGTATCATGTTAAAAACTGTGTGGCTATTGAAATACTTGAATTAAAAATACATGTAGTGTCCAGGGAACCAGTGATGAGGAAGCAAATTAAAAGGCCAGTAATAATGGCGTTCATGAACAGGTATTGATACAAATAAAAGATGTGTAGAAACAGTTGACAGTTCCGATCCTAGTCCAAGTGTTATATGCCATGTAGGAACTTCGGGTATGTCATTGCATCTAACTCTTTTCAGAAGCTGTTAAAAGACATCATTTGATGGTCTATTGAAAGTTTAGAAAGGCAATACACTTCCTAGAAAGACTCCACTCCTTGTAGAGGACCGAGCACTTCAAATAGACCTGATGCAAAGATATACTGCATAAAGCACCAACCAGAAATGTGTCATTTCAGGTCAGCTGACGAAATGAGAGCTGAGGGAGAACCAAGTGGGTAGAGGCATAAATTTATTGTTGGCCCATGGAATGGCAGGTTCTGAACTGCGGAACTGAAAAATATTGCTACTGTGGATACAATGAGTAGAAATCTATCATGACAAGTGTTTAATTAAAACATTCTAGATATTTTTGAAAGAGGTAATATTATAAGTGTGGAGAACTAAAAAAATATCTCTGAATATTCTTGAAGACTGACACAGATTGCCTGAAGAGGCTGTGAAGTCTCTATCCTTGGAGTTACTTAAAAGCTGGTTCTGGACAACTTGCTCTAAGTGATCCTGCTTGAGCAGACAAGTTGGACCACATGACCACCAGAGGACCTTTCTAACCTCAACCATTATGTGATTTCAAGAATATAAATAAAAATTGCCATAAAAATATGAAGAGAAATTAATGAATATATAGATAGTGGGGTTTTTTTTTAATAAATCAAATAGTCCATTGTAACCTTAATATCCTCTTTATTTCTCTGTGGGTAGCTGACTCAATAATTAAAAAATTTTTGTGATTATTTTTCAACTATTGTTCCTCAAGGACATTGTGTTTTTCTGACATGGATGGTTACAGATGGTCCCACAGCAAGACCACCACAGGACACAGCTGAGCTAATGTGTGAAAACACATTTCAAAAAATGGTGATAAAGACCAAGGGAAAGGAACAGCAAGATCCGAGAACAGGTCCACGATGGAGCAGTCACACCTGAAGGAAATGAAACCTGTGGAGGACTCATGTTGGAACAGAGGAAACAAGAAGGAAGGAGCTGCAGGAGAGAATAGTGAGAAACGAGTGGCAGAGAGAACATGCTGTACCCTGACCCCAACCTACTGCACTGCCTATTGCCTCACCAAAGAGACTGAGCATAACCTGCAGCAATAAGGACAGGTGTAGAGACTGGGAATGGGGAAGGAAGATGCCTGAAACACAGCTGAGACTAGGAAAGGTTAAGAAAATATGTCTTCCTTAGATGTTTGTTTCTTTTTTGTTTCCCAGTACTCAATTCAGTAATTAATGTTTTATACTTAGTTAAATTCTCAATGTTGAGTCTGTTTTGCCTGTGATGGTAAAGCCATGAGTTTTTTTGCTCCTGTTCTTCCTATTTTTGTCCATTCCTACTTGTGGGGAGTGAATAAGAGGCTGTGTAGGCTGTGTGGGTGCTTGACTGCTAACTGGGGCCAGCCCACAACAATGTCATGGGTTGGCATCGTATGTGCAGTCTTTTTATTTTTTCTCCTGTGTTGCTAGTGGCTTAGTTTTGATGCAGAGGCAAAATTAAACTGCTCAACAGAAATTATTAAAAAAATAAGAGAAAGTGAAATATTAAAAATCCCTAGGATACACTGTGAGAATAAATTTTCCAGGCATTCTGCAAAATCAGGATGCTGTGTTACATTGACTTACAAAGGAAGAATCCCTTTATTTTTATTCATTGGAAGATCAGTCAATTGATAGCTATTAAAGACAACATTACATGAGTATTGGCTCAGGAAGTCCAAAAACTTCAAAGCACTGAAGTCTGGGAGAAGTAAGCTTGTTCTGTTCTGGTAGCTGTCTTCATCCATCCGCTTTTTAAGAGAGAGGTTATGTGGGTCTTTACTCCAATCCAGTACAATTACTTTAACTTCCTTATCTAGTCCAAGAAAACAGTGTGGTTAATTTTCTGTCTTTACAGAAGCAGTATTGGATAAGGAAAATGGAATGTGTTAGATCACGTGTAACAGAACCAAAGAAGGAAAGTATAAAATCTCAGGTAAATATATTTCCTCCCTGCTTTCTAATGTTCCAATCCTCTTCCAGAGATTTTTTCATCTTTTCATTTTTTCATTGTTCCAATGAAAGTTAGCTTGGGCCCTGAAAAAATAGTATGCAGTGGTATTCTTGATTTCATTGCCTCTCTCAAGATAAAGGAGACTATTTACCTCTCTAGTCTGTACTATGGGTTGCTCAGGAATATTTGCACTTAGGAGGGTCCTGGAGCTGCTGAGCCAACCCTTGGCAATGTAGTGGGGAAAAGGGCTGAGATTTGACAGAGCATGTGAAGCTCTTTTTTGTCCTCTTCCTCCCCCAGCCAATGACCGTGAAGCTGAGATAAACTCTTATGGAGGGAGGGGTAGGGAGATGCTTTTGAAGTAACAAAGGGCTGCTTTGGGTACCAACAGATTATCCAGAATACAAGCTGAGATGTGAATAGCACAGCATTTGCCTTTGTGTGACAACCATGAAACTGCATCTTCCTACACACTGCAGTCCTTGTATAAGTATCCCAGAACAACAGGTACTTGAATTCATTCTGGACAAAATGAAAATTAAAATGTAGTTCAGCTTCTACTAAATACTTAGAAAAAGTTAATTTTTAAGTTTTATCAGAATGCTATGATTCAGAAGACAACGTTCTTTATTTTAAGATCTTATTGTCTTAAATACTCTTCTCCATGCTTAATATTGATTTCACATAAATAACAGTATCAAAATCAATGTAAGTGTGATTTAAAAGAATTTTATTAACTTCAGTGAGACATTGGGTTTAATTCTGTTCTTAGCTGTTCTATTTCTTGATTCACAGCAGAGAAAACTTTTCCTAACCATGTATGCATCCTACTGTTTGAGCATTAAAAAAAAGTTGATGAAGTTTTGCATAATTTGCTAGGCAAGTAGAAATTCTAGAAGTTTGCTGCATTTGATGTTGTCTTCAGCATTATGTTAGCTTCTGAATGCATTGTAGTTGTCGGTATGTGGAAATACATTTGGTACAAAGCACAATACATTTTTGGCAGCTGGTATGTTCTCGGAAATGTCACACGATACAAACATGACTAGTAGATAATTGACTCATCGTTAGCTGACTATCTTGTTGACATGTTTTACTGGACCTGATTTATTTACTGTTTTTGAGAAGTTACATAAATTTCTTGAAATAGCTATTAGAGAATCATACAATGGTTTGGCTTGGAAGGGACCTTAAAGATCATCTAGTTCCAAAGCCCCTGCCATGGTCAGGGACACCAACCACTAGACCAGGTTACTCAACCTGGCCTTGAATACTGCCAGATTTGGGGCATCCATAACCTCCCTGGGCAATCTGTTTCAGTATCTCACCACCCTCACAGTAAAGAGTTTACTCCTAATTCTAATCTAAACCTACTCTCTTTCAATTTTTACTCATTGACTCCTTGTCCTATCCCTACAGTTCCTGACGCATAGTCCCTCTCTAGCTTTCCTGTAGGCCCCTTCAGATCCTGGAAGGTTGAGGTATCCACCAACCTTCTCTTCTCCGGGATGAACAGCCCTGACTTTCTTAACCTGTCTTTGTAGAGGACATGCTTAAGTCCCCTTATCAACCTCATGGACCTCCTCTGGACTTGCTCCAACAGTTCCATTCATTTTAACTCTTTTGTTTGAAACTAAAGCAGATTAAAATCTTTAAAGAAGATCAACTGTGTTTTCATTACTACAATGCTCTTAAGATACTATCGGAATTCTCAAAACTAGGAGCTGATAGTCTATTTTAACAACACTTTGCAAGTGATCTTTAATTCATGATACAAACAGGCAAATTATAGGGTTTTTTTTAAGGAAGAGTAGCAGAGATGCTTTCTAGGGTGCTGTGTAATCCAGTAAACTCAGCCAGAGGGATACCCTGTTTTAGTAAACACTGAAGGGGAAAAAAGGCTATTGCAACCTCTGCAGTCTGAAATGAATGGGTAGTAAGGAGATAGTGTGCTCTAAAGAAGTAGAAGTGTCAAGCTCTTCCATTCTAATTGAGTCTGAAATGGATAAGTCCAGAAGACCACAGACACAAAAAGAAAAGTTTCATTAATAGATTCTCACTATTCACGTTACGGATTTGTTTAACATCCCTCCTCCACAAAACAAAGGTCTACCTGTGGCTGGTGCTCAGCTGCCTTGAATGTGGGGGCTCCTAAAATACTCATGAGGCAGGACATTGAGCAATTGATGTGATAATATGAAGAATATAAGAAAGGGAGAAGACACTGGAAAACTGTATTCAGTTTTCACAGTTATATAGCAGTCTGGGGGCACAAGTCAACATTTTCAATGAATTCAAGACTACTGGATTGGGGTTTTTTGGTACTTTTTCTGTGAGGAGTAGTCAGTCATCACTGACTAGAGTCATCATTGACATAGACTACCTGGTATTTTTTACAATCTGTACAGAATTCAGTCATGGAATAAGCACCAAAAATGACCTGCACATCTACCTCATCTATTATAGTGTTCAAGTTTGTCTCTGCCTGTTCTTCTGCCTTTGTTAATGATCATCAGAGTAATGTTGCCTAATTAACTGAATTTATGGAATGGTGAGGACATAGTGGCCATAGATGATGAAGGGAGGGGATAGTCAAGGAGCACCTTCTAGTTGGCAAGGTCAGCTGAGAGCTGACTGTTCCAAAAGAGGCCTTTGTAGAGTCCTGCAGCTCAGGAGGCAGAGCGAGGAAGTGATTCTGATGTAGAAGACAGACTGCTATCTTGCCATGACCATAGTGTGTATGTAGCAGACTTGGAAACTGCCTGCAGCAATTGAAGTATTTTGTTTCAGTTCATGAATTAGCTTTAATATTTTTCTAAATGGTATGAGAAATTAACTGGAAGATGATTTCTATCTGCACCCATGGGTCTTAATGCCTCAGAAGTGAGATTAGAACTCTCTCTAGTTCTCTGCTAGATATTGTGAGCTCTACCTGCTGTCATAGCTGTCATAGAAGAAACACTTTATTTTTCTTTGTGAATTTTTGGCTCAAAAAGATACAGAGATTGAGCAAAGGAACTCTACAGAGGCCTCTAGAACTTGCCAACCCACTACAGTCGTGGCAGAACCTAGCTTTTATTGTTTTATTATAGCAAAACTGCATCAGTTCCAAGTTACACATATGGAGAACTATGCCAGCTAAAACTTTTATCAATTACATCAATGCATTCATGTCAAGAAAATTAATTTCTCTCTAGTAAAGACATGAGATGAAGAAAACCTTTTATTTCTTGTTTACATAACATTGTTTTCAATTAGCAGGGTCCAGATGTTCACACATTTTAAAAGCACCTTTTACACTCATTTGGGCTTCTTATTAGAAAACACCAGTGGATTATGTTCCAAAAACCTTTTTCTCCTTTCTGGAATTGAGGTTGGATTAACTGGCTTTACTCCTCACATTGCATGCTGAAAGACTTCTTTGTTCATATCAATTTAGTTTAGTACTATAAATTCTACTATTAAGCACATGTGAAGTTCATTGTGCATAAAAAATTTATTAACTTGTAATTTTTAAATTTTAAATGAGAAAAATTATTATCATATGTTTTTGTTATAAACTTCATAGTTCTCATCCTTCTGTGGCTGTCAGGAATTCATCTCTTGAAGTAAACCCTTTAGAATTGGAATTGAAATGAGTGCTGAATCTGGAGGTTCCTGATTACCATTTAGATAAAAATCTTCATGTTTTTAGGGAATAATTTTCCCTGCTGACTAGATTTTCACCAGAGATCTTTCACCAGAGCAGCACAGTGTCCAACTGGCCAAATTGCCTTCTTTTTATTTTCATGCATAAGGCTAGTTTTAGATTTTTTTTTTTATTTAAGGATAATTTTTTTGGAAATGTATTTTTGCAGCATACTCTCAATTCAGGGTAGTTACATTCTCCAAAACACTGATTTTCCATGCGTGTAAATATCATTACCATGGATCATTAGTGAGTTTAACTTACTTGGACAAAATCTTACTGAGATGTAGTAAATTTTCATAAAACCCTATTAATTAGAATTAATTAGATTTTTAATTAGAATCTTAAAGACAATAATTATTTTGACATGTGTAAGAATATATGTTATTTTTCAGACTTTTAAGTGTATTTTTGAAAACGTGTATAACGTTTCCTGGTTTCTTTTTATTCCATGAGAAAGGCAGTTTATTTAGGAAAGCACTAAACTCATTGTCTTTGCAATCATGATACATTTTCAAAAATTTTAAATTGGACAGATTAAAAATGGAACACACACCCCTATGAGCTTGTTTCTTTTGTAGCTCATTGGGATATATCACTTTTTTGTTTCTGTGATGTAGGGTTAGGTGTACTTGGAAAAAGGCAATATTTAACTACAATAGTTGACCAGAAAATGAAACTTATCCCTATGTTAATACCCTAAGTTTGGGTTAAGAATACTTTTAGGATTTCAGAGAGAAAAAACGTGACATAGTTCACACCCTTTCTCAGAAAGATTGATTAGACACTGGAGTGGACTGTCCAGGAAGGTGGTGGGGTCACCATCCCTGGAAGTGTTTAAGGAAAGACTGGATGTGGCACTTAGTGCCATGGTCTAGTTGACATGGTGATGTTTGGCCATAGGTTGTGCTTGACCTTAGAGGTCTTTTCAACCTAATTCATTCCATGATTCTGTAATTCTCTGATTTTTACTGTTTAGCTGAAAATTGTACTGACTCTTATGTCAAGATTTTTTAAAGTTATGTGGGAAATAAGATAATTTTAAGCATTCTTTTTAAATATAAGTTTTATTTTGTGTTTTACGCATAATTGCTTAATTCATATCTAGTGGTGTTTTTTTTCTTTTTGTTTGTTTGTTGGGGTTTTTTTTGCAGGAAGGAGGTAATACTTGCTCTGCATTTGTACAAGAGAAAACAGGTAAAAATGGGATATTCTTTACTAAATCCTTATTCTTG